TAAAAAAAAAAAAAAAGTTCGATTCCTCAAAAAAAAAAAAAAAAAAACTGTTCATAGCTAGGCTACCAGAGTGGCCCGGGTCCACTTGCCCGGCCGGGCCAAAAAGATATAAAACTTTAAAAAAATAAAATTTATTTTTTTATTAACTTTTTTACTTTAAATTGGGTAAAGAATTTCGATGTGACCCTGAGGCAAAAGTTGTTCAGTTTATTTTTCTGCATAACATTGTTTTTTTTCCGCTTTTTTGCTTTTTTTCCTGCCTGGTACCTTCCCTGGTCCTTGCACGGTCGGCCCGGCCGCCCGGGAAAATAGCGTGACCCGGGCGGCCCGGCTGGTAGCCTAGGTTCTTAGCAAAAAAGAAAGAAAAAAATGAATTGAATTGAATTGAATATACTTCATATAGTTCGTTGTTTACAACAATTTTTCTTTTTTTGTTTCCTTTTTTTTTGGCGGCGATGCTAATCTTCTGTGTATCGTTCCAATTGTTTTCAGTTTTAATTAACTTTTAAATAAATGCATTTTTTAGTCACGATTTCGTTAATTTTGCTTCAAAGCTTTAGAGGGAAAATCGTGAATGTATACAGTCAGCTTTCGGGTTAGGTGGGGATGTGTTGTATTTGAGGGAGGGATGCCCGAAGTGCATTTAAAACTGAAACGTGACTGCGCCCTACCGTCTTCCCCCGAACACAACGCACCCTTATTTTGGCTGTATCTGGCCGGAAATATAGCTTGTATACATTCATTTTTAGGGTGCGTTGATGCATGTTGCGCCCCCCCCCCCCCCTCCTCCTCAGCCACCCACCCCTAATTAGCGGTGGTCAGGGAGTAGGGTGGGGCTGCCGGGGCGGGGGGGGGGCCTAAAAAAAAGACCGAGCATTTTTCAAGTACTTCCCCTGCCCCCTACAAACCCCCCCCCCCCCCCCCCCCCCCCATCTACCGTCTTCAGCCGAATAGAACGCCCGGTCATTATATCTGTATTTGGCACAGCTTTCAGCCCAGATACGGCGATAATTTACCGGTCAATGATGAAGAAAGAGAGTGAAGGCAAAAGGACCAACACACTGGACACATAGCCGATATAACACGGCAAAGATATGGGTAATCGTCTCCAACAATTCCGAAAAATAATATTAAAGCTCAAAAAGCATAGCCGTAGCTATGGTCACCTCCTCCTTCGTCGCCTGGAAAACGAGTCAACACCCAGAAAGAGAAAGCGCTCGCATCCCCAACTGAGCTAAGGCCGACTAGTTACCGGTCGTTCTATTCCGGTGAAGACGGTAGTAGCAGCAGCGGCTATGATCAACACTCTCCCACACACCACACGCACACCCACTCACGCTCACACTCACACCCCTGTCCGTCATAACCCCTACTCATTAAAAAATCATAACCCCTACTAATTAAAAAATCATAACAAAAATAATAATAAATAATAAATAAATAATAAATAAAAAAATAAAAAACCATAACCCCTACTAATAAAAAAATCATAAGCCCTACTAATAAAGAAATCATAACCCCTACTAATAAAAAAATCATAACCCCTATTATTTAAAAATTGGGGGTATCAAACGGGACTATCACATTCGGTCGATTGGCACTAAGTGCGCAGCAGGCGGCCATGGGTGTCGAACCCACAACCCCCTGAATATCACTTGCGTGCCCGACCAACTGATGAGCTAACGCCGCTGGATTGGTGTTCATGATTTTGAGATTTTGATTTTTTTTTGAAATAAAGCAAGTGTGTTTATTTTTTCTTTTCTTTTTTTCCTCGGGGTAATTTCGGTACAGTCACAAAAACAGTTTGCAATTACACTTCAGCCATTCCCCCGAACACAACACACCCCCACGTAACCCTACCTGACCGGAAAGATGGCTTGTATACATTGCCCGCCGAAGTGCAATTTGAAACTGTCTTTTTTTTTTTGCCTTTTTTTTTTTGCCGAAGTGAATTTAAAAAAAAACTTTTTTTTTGTGACTCCCGCGTAGTTTCCCCTTTTTTTTTCCCTCCCTCGGGCCAAAACGATGAATCACCATGGAAACCTAACAAATAACTGTAATAAAGCAAGATTTCTTTTTCTTAAAAAAAATAAAAAAAAGCAAGATGTTTTTTTTCTTAATAAAATAAATATAAAAAAAGGAATAAAAGTGTTTTGAACCTACCGTCGTATTGTCTCCATTGAAGATGAAGAACACAATGAACAGGTTCCATAGGAATCCAATCACTGAGATAAACACAACCAGCTTGCACGCGTATCTGTTCAACGACTCACGCCCCATTTTGCCCGCACACGCAGAGGAGGTAGCAACAGATGGGAGGAGGGAGGAGCTGCGGCATTCCCCCCCCCCGCCGCCGAACAACCAACCCCAGCTCCTTCGCGGAGTGACCTCAGTCACTCCGCGACCGCCGATCGACAGCTTCCACAGAAGCGACAAATACCGATCACTGCGCGCCGAGTGCTGACGTGGCAACAGGAGATCCCCTTCCCCTTCCCCTTCCTCTTCCCCGCTCTTCTGCAAGCTGTTCAACGGCAACGACCTTTGTCGAACCGACCAGTGGAGCCCGTTGGAGGTCGCCGTCTTAACGATCTGCAAGAGACGTTGATCGACAATCACAGCAAGACGACAAACGACGACGGCCCCCCTGAGGACAACGTTGATTGACAACCAATCAAGCAACAACAACCTTGCTTGCCGCCCTTAGTCTCCTCTTCCTCCTCCTCCTCCTCCTCCTCCTCCTCCTCCTCCTTTCTCTCCACCTCCTCCTCTTCCTCCTCCACCAACTACTACCACTGCTGCCTCGACTCTTCCTCCTCCTCTTCCTCCTCCTCCTCCTCCTCCTCCTCTACTCGGACTATTATTACTCCCAACTCACTAACTCCTCCTCCGCCTCTTCCTCCTCCTCCTCTTTCTCCTCCTCTTCCTCCTCTTCCTCCTCCTCCTCTTTCTCCTACTCCTGGTCCCCCCTACTGCTGCCCCTACTAAACTACAACAACTACTACCCCCCCACCTCCTCCTCTCATACTACGAATACTACTAGACCTACTTCCTCCTAACGCAGAGAAATAACTACCGCGCAGATCCCTGTCGTCTTCCTCCTCCCTTACTTCCCTCACTCTCTCTCTCTCTCTCTCTCTCTCTCTCTCTCTCTCTCTCTCTCTCTCTCNCTCTCTCTCTCTCTCTCTCTCTCTCTCTCTCTCTCTCTCTCTCTCTCTCTCCCACTTTCACGCCTTCGCTTGTCCAGGCTTACACGCGTTAGATCCAGCAGGAGGCCCCCTCACCTCCCCTCTTTCTTATTTTTTTGGGGGGGGTCACACTTCCTCTCGTCTCTCACCCCCTCCCCACCCTCCCCTTCAACAGTCCCCCACGCTGCTTCCTTTCCTCCCCCCTCCACCTTTTCCCTTCCCTCCCTACCCTCACACTCCCTCTCGTCGTCTCTCCACCCTCCCTCGAACCCTCGATCTCTCCGATCTCTGACCTAACCCCCCAAGGTTCCTGCCTGTGCGGGAGAACCCCTTCCTTCCCCCTCCAGTGAACCCGCGCCCCTTCTTCTCGTCAAATTTTCGACGACCAATGATTGATTCCCGCCAAATCCCCGCGCCTTCTTCTCCTCAAATTTTCGACCACCAATGATTGATTCCCGCCAAATCCCCGCGCCCCTTCTTCTCGTCAAATTCTCGACGACCAATGATTGATTCCCGCCAAATCCCCGCGCCTTGTTCTCTAGTCAAATTTTCGACGACCAATAATTCCCGCCAAATCTTCTTGATCGAAGACTCCCGCCAAATCTCGTCAAGTTTTCGACGACCAATGATTCCCGCCAAATCTGCGTTCGAGCAGAGGCTTTCCTTTCCTTTTCATGACGTCCTCCCCTCGACTTTTACAACGACATGGTTAAGATCCCGACCAGGGCGCCTGCCTTCGAGAGTCCAGACTGCAACAGTCCATCCATGCTCCCACAGGCTCAGGCCCTCCGATTGACACCCTCCCCTCCTCCCTCCTCCGTCCTCCCTCCTCCCTCTTCCCCCCTCCTTTCCCCCCTTTCGCGGGCGAGAGAGCGCACTCAATCACCCTCACGCAACCTGCAGACACGATACCAGAGCGCGCCGCTACCAAGGCTGCTTCTTCTTCTTCTTCTTCTTCTTCTTCTTCTTCCTCCTCCTCCTCCTGCTTCTTCTTCTTCTTCTTGTTGATGATGAAAGTTCGTCGAAGGTACGCAGTTAGTTCCGTATCTCCAACAAACAAAATAGAGATAGTTCCAATCTCTCAACCAACCGTAGTTAATTCCAAATCAATTGACGCGTACGCGTAAAGAAAAAGGGGTTCCCGGCCGAAGTCACTGCCCCGCCGCCCTTTTGGGCCTCGTTCAACCACTCACCAAATGCGCAAAATAAAAACGAATCTTCCCCTAGAACATGGAAAGGTACACAGCCATATTTATTATTTATTTTTTGTCTTTTGCGGATGTGGTGAGTGGTGGAGCGAGGGCCCTTTTTCCCATGGGAATTTTGCATCTGTAAGACGGGTAGTCCCCGCTATACCCAGTCCCAGCGCCTAACTTATAATAATACCCTACTCTTCCCAAGCGCCAACTTATATGCGTACCCAGTCACACATGCCCTTGGTTGGGGAGGACAAAATTATGCTTATGCCCAGGAACGGGGCAGGCACAATTGCGTGTGCACGGAGGTTGCCCGGGTATGCGCATAATTTGAGCAATACGTACTTGGGTACAACAGCAATTTGGCGGTACCAACCTTGGCCCACCTCGGTCCTGGGCATGCAAATAATTTGCACATATCATTTCCCTGGTACAGATGCAAGTTGGGCACTGGAACTGGGTCACAAAAACAATTTTCCCTTTCTCTGTTCTTCTCAAGGGATTGCCATTAGCTGCACCCGGGCTATGTCACTTTAGGCTGCCCCCAATGCCCTGTACAACTGTTACTGGGGGCGAAGTCCCACCTGCGAGGATTGACACTTGGTTTCATGTCCGCACCGCTTCGTGTCACCTGCCATCTGCCTCATATCGAGAACATTACCGAACGAGAACATTATCGAACGAGGTGGCGGAGAGCCGTATGATGGGAAACTATGACATGCAGTTCGAGGGCGGGAAAACACAACTCCCGACCCTATCTATGATAAGTATTGGAGTTCTTGGATTTATTGTGTTGGTTCAAGATAGGTCCCTGTCATGGCAACAAGAGAGTTCAATCACTTCGCTATATGCTGGAAACGCCTTAGAGTTGGAAGTTCCAAATTCATTAGTCAATCAGCAGGTTCGTCATAGTTTTATCGAAAAGGAGCCTAGGAGACTACAAGCAAAGCAACTTTCGCCGCCTCTTAGTGTTGCGCAACTGGCATCGCAAGCATCATAGCGTAAGCTAACAATAAAGTTTAAGATATAGTCCATTCCATGGAGAAAGGCATTGCATGTTCATTGTAGGTCTATATGTACAGTCTCAAACATCTCACGGTGACATTGCCATGTTAAAAAGTAGTTTAAAGAAAAAATAAACTTCCGTTACCGTTTTAACTCTATACAAATACAACACACGGGGTACATTGTATTTAAATACAACGTACGAGTTTTAGAGTACAACTTTGCAGGTAATACTAGTGTCGTTTTTACTTTTTCCCTCAAATTTGGTTGGGAATTTCGTCAAGACCCTTAAGCTAAAGACGTTTCTATTATTATTTTTTTCCCTTTAAAATTACACTTTTAATAGGATCTAACACCAAAAGCAAATTATATCAACAAAAATGTCAAGAATAGGGGCACTCATGTTGTTTTGCCCCACAATGAGCTCATAACCCCGTCCGCGCATACAATCTTCATAACCAGTACTCGAGTCTGACAACAACCCCAATGAGAAACCAACTACTAAATCTAATTATACCCTTAAAAAAGATAGAAACATTAATATAAAAACTACAAAAACGAAAATCCGCTTACTCTCATACTAGATGAATGGATAGGTCGAAGACAAGTATAGATCTATCAAATTAGTAGTAAGCTAACTGAGGCAAAATCATTGAAATCCTATTGAGGGATACTAAACAAAAGAACGAGTTCACAACAAGTGTATAGTTATTAGAATCTCAACGTACAAGTTAAAATTACAATAAAGTTTACCTACTGGGAAATGGTAGTTTACATGAGGTATGTAAAAAAATTATTCTCGCAAACTTGATCATGTACCTCACACCAACATTTAGCATTAACTATATCATACCCATGCACAAAATATTTTGGTTGCAAATCCTATAATAATAATAAATATAAAAAAATCACAGTTAAGGTTGTGACAAATTTCGAGACAACACTTAAACGGCATGTAAACAATTTTAAGGTTTTGACATGAACTACATTTTTTCGAACACAATACTCTTAATCCGTCAAGATGGCCTTCTTGATTGAATACTTAACTTATGTTCGGACCATGTGGGATCAAGTGCTCACCCTTTCTTACTCAAAAACTTCTCAAGGCCTACAAGGTTTACAATATGACATCTCTAATAGTTTTTTCTGCATAAGTAAGATGTTTGGATAATGGTAATTGCATAAGTGTTACTCCTGCAAATAAAAAGTCATTGTTTTAGTAAGTGTTTGATGTCGGTATTGGGACGTCTGTATGTCTCCACCAATCCGAAAAGGTATGAAAATACATTTCAAGTCGAAATGTTCATGTTATATATCTAAGTGTATGAGAAAAACATACATTCCAAAATGACTTTCAGAATTCGATGAACGCACTAGGCGAACATCTGAAATGCATGTCCCATAAAAAAATTAGGTTCATCAAAAAAATTTAAAACACTGACAATATTTTTATCTGATGGCTATGATAATCAAATATATGAACGGTCATCATCCATTTTCAGTAACTGTCTAGTTAAAATTTGTATGCGAAGTAACATCAAATATCCCAATTTTTTAGTGTATCGAAAAAATATTCCTCCCCCCCCCCCTTCGCAATGGGCATTCCCAAACCTTATTTTTTAGGTCGATTAAGAGTTTATATATTGGTTGTCTTTCACATGTTTTGATCACTCTGTCAGGGCAAATACCACGACAAGGGTATTTGCTGGAGATTTAAAATATTGGACGTTGTCCGACTCTTCCGTTGAATTAAATGACTTTATGAGATTGACGTTTGCCAAATGTTTATTCAAACCTTACATATGACTGAGATACTAGAAGTTTGCGATTTTTAGTTCGAACGCTTGTGGCGTCCGAGAGTAACGACAGTAACTGACAATGCTTCTTTTTCGTCGAAGCAGCAGAAGTGCGCAAATATGGGATAGCTCAAGATATACCTATTTTATCTAAAATAATGACGCGCGTTTGTTGAGCCGCACGATTCAAGGCCTATGTAGGTTAAAAAGAACGACCGTGGCGCGATAGGAACATGAAGTTTTTATTTTTTTCTGGGCCAGCAGGGGTTGATCTCGAGTAAGGGGGGGGGCCCGCAGACCAAATGCCGAGACCTTTCCACTGGGTGACCCCGAAGTCGCGGATGGGCATTCATCCACGGGAAAGCGGCCGATAGGCACGCAGGTGAGTCCTGCAGGGCCTGCAAGGCCTCAGGCAGGCAGGGTCTGCGAGACTATAGGCAGGTAAGGCCTAAGGCCTTAGGTAGTCAGGGTCAGGCCATAGGCAGGAGGCCTATTGGGCGCAACCCTTCAAATAAAAAGGTTGTTGCTATAGCTCTCGTAATAGGAGTTAGCCCAATAGGTATTGCATTGAACTACTACCTGGTAGAGACTGGGATAGAGCCCAGGCTGTGCTAACACTGCACTAACTCCTTTTGGAGTTTTCCTCACTTGCAGATGGCACGGTCCATCTCGATCAAGTGATCGCAGAGATCGCACGGCCGAGATAGGCCGCGTAGATCTGCATGGGCGCTGCCCAAGGATGACACGCATAAATCGAGAAATGGTCCAGATTTTGTTTCCGATTCCAACTGGGTTCGAACTCGGTTCTGCATCTTGCAAGACGTGGCTGAGAAGCCACTGGATGAGACGTGACAGTTGACTTGGGCCTACGGAGAAAAAAAGTTAAAAAAAAAAATAAAATTAAAAATCTAACTAAAGTTGAAGCGCCACATGGCGCTACTGGAAGTGATTGGGGACTTGGGGACTTAGAGTCCTTAGAGTTGCAGCAGGCGCCCGTCGTGAACGGGCATCCGTTTTCTTCTGAGGTAAGTTGTTTTTTTTGTTTTTTTTAATATATATATATATATATATTTTTCCTTTTTAGATTTCGTTGTTTTATATTTCTTTTATTTAGTAAAATTAGTAAACTGTTCATTCATGCTGCAACTTTAGTACCAGGATGAGCAAAATCGAATAAATCTGCGGCGGAAATGCGGCTATGTTCCGAGCATGGATTTTGGGACCTTGTACTGAAGTTACGAGGGACTCCCTGCACGCGTTTGGGTGGTTTCCGGTTTGCGAGGGACGGCGAGTCGTTTTCTGGTGGTCGAACGAACAATTTTTGCGGTGTTGTTTAAGACTCTAGTCGTCTCTCTCGGAGGACTTCACGACAGGCCGCAATTGCAGAGAGAGAGAGAGAGAAAGAGGGAGAGAAAAAAAAAAAAAAAAAAAAAGAGAGAGAAAGAGAAAGAGAGAGAGAGAGAGAGGAAAAGGGTTGCTAGCAACAGCGTCCGAACTTGGTATTGTTGGCAGCCGAGTGCGGGCATGTGCTGCAGCAGAGGGAGGGCATATAGACCCTGTTGACCTTGACACTAATTCGACTACGTGAGATGACCCCACCCCTCTACTGCTAAGCAACAGGCTGACCCCCTTATGAGGAAAACGAGGGGGCAAAAAATTAGGGGAAAAAAAAAAAAGTAACGACCACGTACGTGGCCGCGGTCATGGATAGGTGCAAGGGGAAGAAGGTTCTAGGGGGTGATGGGACTGTGCTTGTTCATTTTTTGAACAAGCTACAGTCGGGCTGCGTACAACCATTTCCTGGAGCATGTGGCATGGGGGAAGGTTAGATGCTTCCGGGAATTGATGACTTTGGTTCCCCTAGGGGAAAACCAAGGCAACGGGCTCCTGGCTGTTAATTTAGATCGAGCGTCAGGAGCACCCACAAATTTTTGCCTGACTGTGGGCAAAACAACTGCCCACATGCCTTCGGTTGGCTGTAAAAACTAGTTCCCCACTCAGCAGCCTCACACTTGTGGCAATGCTGCTGGAGCATTATACTTAAAGTAGATGCTGGCTGGCTGGCTGTTGGTGTAGTGAGGGAGTGTTGGCGAAGTGTTGGAGGTCTGCAACAACTTGAGAAGTGGTAGAGGCACCCATAGCTAGAGGCTGGGAGTTTTTGCTCCACCTATGTGCGTGCGCTGTGTAAAAGGGCAGGTGTTGCGGTCGTGAGGTTGTGACAATGACACTTCAGTAGGGAAGTGTTGTCGAACTAACAGCGTGGCAGCATCAAGGTCTCCATAAGGGGAGGTGATGTCCATGTGGAGGCACGACAACGACGTTTTTTTTTGTGAGGTTACGCTGCCAAATGTTTGGCACGGCAGCGACACTTCGGTGGGAAACTGCTGCCAATTGTTTGGCATGACAGTGTGGTACCGGTTTCCACGGCGCGGCGAGCGACAGTCCCGCTTTTAATTTTTTAATGTACGCGGTGATGGTGGACTATTTTCTCATGATCCGGTGGTAGTATGGGCACTGGTGAACATTTGGGATTGTGTGCGGCAGTGGTGTGTGGGTCGGCGACATAAAGAGAGTGTGGAGTGAGGGCATGTAACAATAGTCATTGGGGTTCGCGGCACATGCGGGTTTCAGCCAGGGTCACCTTTGTTTTTTTTTTTGCGGCACATTGGGCGAGGGGTTTTCAGTTCTGGACCATCTAGTATTACGGACGACGGTGTGGAACCGTCTGGGGTCATTTTATGACCAAGTGAGGCCGAGTTTGAAAATAGGACATGCATGATGGTGTGATTATTGAAGGTGATTTGGAACCTGCGGTTCA